CCTCCATCTCGCTCTCATCAGGTAACGGATGCTGGGCCAGTACCGGGTGTGGGTCGCCTGGCATTGGTCGCAATCCACGAGCCTTATTCGATCCCGGGTGAGTTGGCACAAAGAGACAGAGCCGGTTCCACCACATATTGCACCAGATCGGGCTTGGCTCCACTGGTTCCGAGCATTGTAACTCGTCAGTGGAGGCGATGGCAGCAATCACCACAGCCAGGGCTTGCTCAATCCGTCCACGCATATGACCCAAGCACAGGCCTATTTCCGCATTGGTAAAGGCAAAGTCCATCCACTTCCATATTGTGCGGGCATTTGCCCGACGGGCAGCTTTGGACATCTGCTCAAAGGCAAAGCGGAAGTCTGTCAGGAAGGCGGTGTATTCGCTGTCGGACGTGATCAGGCCTGGCACACCCAGTTGCATCAAACTCGTAGCATCAGGTCCACCATGATCCGCAGCACGTCCGGCCCGCTCCTTTTCCACCGTGCGCTCCAAGAGGGCACCGATAGCATGAAGCAGTTTAGCCACCACACGTTGGAAGGCCAGGGTCAATGTGAGTCTATCTGCCACCCCATAACCCAAGAATGTATCAGGAATGGCGGCCAAAGAGAAGGAGCCCAAGACCCGACCAGGGTTGCGGTCCACATCCTCTTCTGTAGTCAACCCAAGCATAAGACTCCAGACATCCACTGCTTCTTCCAGGGTCAGGCGGTTCGGTGGTGTAGCAGGCTCCCTGACCCTGCATTCCTCAGCTGCCCTAGCTCGCCTGCCACGGGCAATCGGAATGCGCTCGGTCAACCTGAGGGTTTCAGAGCTGATTGCCTTATCCGGCCGGGCACGGCCACTGCCTGAGCTCGGCGGGTAGACCCTGCGCCTTCTGACGGGAGCTGGTGCAGGCTTCTTGAGCCACTTCTTGCTAATTTGCCGCTGCACCAACGATGTGGCATCCGCATGGCATGTGTCCGGCCAAGCTTGGAGGTGTCTGAAAAGGTCCGCTTCAGCCAGTCTCGCCCAATCCTGAACATACTGTGGAGGTTCGTGTTCGGTGGCAACACCATGGCCGATTGGCGGCTCCAGTTCTTGCACATAGGTGAGAGCACGTCTTCGGTAGTCGGCATCAAGGCGCCCATAGATCCGGTTCCGGAGCTGTTGGAGGCCCCACTCATGGTGCCCCTCCCCCCTCGCTCGCTGCAAGAAGCCAATGGCCGATTGCATCCAGTCAGCCCTGGGATCGATGCATGATGTGGTGCCATGCTCTCGTTGCCCGGGAGCGAGACAAGAACAGGAGCTCCCAAGGGTGATCCCATGCAGCTGAGCTTGTTCTGCAGGCAAGCGCCTCTTGCGGTTGAACGCCAGACGCCTCACCGCGGCCGCTTCCGTCTCCCTCTGAGGCTGTGGAAGAGGCAACAGAAGTGTAGGCCCATCACGGGCCAGCCGCTCCAGAACTGTCTGCTCCACCGGGTACCACACTTCAAGGTATTCCTCATGGCAGTGTTCCTCCACGTAGCGAGCCCATTGGGCAGAGTATCCACTCAGGGGAACCCACATATTGGAGTAAATGTCGGAATCCACACCGGCTGCCTGAGCGAAGGACTCCAAGAGCAGCGATGTTTGCTCCTCGTAATGCCCGTCCTCCCTTGCCAGGATAAGTTGGCGAAGCATGGCGATCATTTCCCGAGGTGAGTGGCCATCATCAAGCAGGGCTCGCTGCATGTCACTGGCGCTGACATACCAAAACGGCGGCCAGCCTCCAAAGACCACTGGTGGCTGGGCCGATGCGGTGCCCAAGGCCCCAAGAAGGCCGAGCACTGGGGCTGTTGACGCGCCTCGAATCACCAAACCGGTGACCAAGGCATGAGACAACCGAGTTGTCGTAGATATGAAAGGTGATTTGTCCGGTGCGCGGTTGGCACCCGTGTTTGCCCCCTTCATCCCTTGGAGAACTCCGAAGGCAAACATCACGAACATTGCGAAAGTCCACAAATTGAAGGCCATGGCAAGCACCAAAGTTCGACGTATGCCTGCACGGGGACTGAGCCGAGGGCCTCATTGTTGTCAGAACGCGTCGTCATTCACACTGAGCCCCTGCAGCCCTAGCCCTATCCCTGGTGTCGCAAGGAGTGTTTCCCTGCTTAACCCCAGTCTGGAAGTGCAAGCTGTCGCCCCGATGCCCAAGGCAGATCGTTTTGATCCACCCAAGTAGCCCTGAGTGTTCTCCATAAAGTACGGTTGTGTGCACTGCTTCTCCAAGGCCCTTTGCAAACCCTGTTCATCCCTTCCTCAAGTGCCGTAAGACGAGCAAAATGGTGACCATGCCGAGGACCATTCTTTACTCCCTGAACCCTTCGCCACCAGGAGAGGCTTCTAAACTCGTCCAGGTAAGCACTAAGGGGTGGTGCTGGCGCCACCATACTTCGAACACGGTGACCACTATAGTCCCACCAACGTTGCAACCACAAGGAGCTCCAGCGCAGACACCCAGACTTATGCAGCACCGCCCTGGCCGAACGAACAACCCTTTGTCTGAACTGTACCCACGACTCGCTAGGAGAGCGAAAGAGGCGCATCATCCACCCTATCAGCATGGCCTGGATGCTGTTGAGAAGCCCCAACGCCGACTTGTCGGGTGGGAGCGAAGAGATACACCACAGCACGCAGCCTGACACGATTCGTTGAAAGAGCTGAACCCTCCCCCAAATCGGGGTTTTGCACCTCAGGAGATGCTTCAAGCTCCAGAACTTCTGCTTGGCACGGTGTATCAGGGGCTGGAGAAGCTCACACATAGACATCCCTTTGCGCATCATCAACCCCATCACTTCCAAATGGTCAGCAGAGTGGAGACAGTGACCTCGGATCCACATCTCCCTGGTCCCCTGTGTGTCCTTGCTGCAGTACAGTTGACACTTCTGGATGTTAAGCTGCAGCCCGTACCCCTGAAGAACCTGCATCAGTTGCTCAAGACGTGTACCCACCGTTGTCGGGGAATCCCCCCACAAGATGCCATCATCCATAAACAATGCAGACTCGTACACCATGTCCGGAAACAGCAGCGGTTGGGTAGCCCAGCCGTGTAGGTCCGAAGCCTCTTGGAGCCCTTCCTCCATCAGAAGACTAAAGAAGCAAGGGCTTTCGACCGCCCCCTGCTTAATTCCAGAGTCAGTTCTGAATTCAGACATGCCCCAAGGGGTAACGAGTAAGGCAATGTTGTCGATGAGCAGCTGTTCGAAGCAAGCCATCTCGTGTGTATCCCCAAGTCGCTGCCGGAGCTTTTGGATCAAGACTGTTCTGTTCACACTGTCAAAGGCCTTGTGGATATCAATCTTAACACAGGTGATTGGCTTGTTCCATTCACGACACAACTCTAAAACACGCCACAGCGAAAAGACATAGTCGTTGCTTTGGCGGTGCTCGCGGGCACACTGGTGGGGCGTTTTCGGGCCAAGTTTAGGAAGGCATCTGTTCAGGAGGAGCCTGGCAAAGAGCTTCGAAGCAGCGCTTCCCAAAGCGATTGGCCTGAGGTCACGCGGAGCCAAGGGTTTGGGAATTTTTGCCAGCAAAACCAGAACCGACTTGTTCCAGTCAGTCGGCACATCCCTCGACACCAAAATGGACGTGAAGAACTCCGCCAAGTGGCCCGGGCCCCCGGAGATCGAAAGGATTCCCTCAAATAACTCCCGAGACGTCAGGTCCGCACCAACTGATTTCCCCTGCTTCATCTGAGAAACCCCTCGCTTGATCTCATCCACTGTGAATGCCGAAGCCGAGCCCTGAGGAGTCACTGAAGGCGAGACCGGTGTTGCTTCGTAGAGCGATTTAAGGTGAGCCTCAACCACGTCATGAGGATCCTTAGCCTGTGCTGCTGCAAACTCATCCTGCCACGAACCCTGACCCTGACCCCTGACTTCCCGAACTGCACCCCAGTCACACTGAGAGGCCCTGTTGAGGCGGGCCTGTTCCCACACTCGACGCTCCTGCCTCCTGGAATTCAAGGCAAACTTCCATGCTGCACGGGTTTTTGTAAGCTTGGCTGTGCGGAAGGCCGCCTTGGTCGCTGGAGAGTCGCGATACGCCGAACTTGGTTTGGGCTTGGGACCCCAAGTTTGTCAGCAGTAATAGAGTCAATCTGGTCCACTCCCCCAACCCAAACACGGGGGCAAGTGCGAGGTCGCCTGAAAGCCCTGGCAGCCCTGATATACCCCGAGGCCTGTAGGAGTTCATGGTCTGTCCCAAGAGCCCGTGAGGAGTCCACATGCACTACCAGACCAGAGTGAGTCAGGCCACGACTTGCCATGATATCAATCCGCGACCCCTGTCTCCCTTCTTGACGCGGCCGACTCGTTGGCAGCCCTTGCTGGACCCTGGCAGGCGCAAAGGCCTGAAAACCCCTTCGAAGCAGGCAATCCAAGAAGAGAACCCCTTTGCCATCAAGCCCGAAGGGTACATCCAACTGAGCCCCCGGTGTCCAAGAAAACGGTGCATTCAAATCCCCTGACATAATGGCTCGCCCCGTTCCACTCGGAAGCTTTTCCCAGAACTCCTCAAAGGCGGCCTGGTAGTCTGCCTGGGTCAACCCTGGGGGCAGGTGCAAGGAGCCAAACCAAATATGCTGAGAGCTCTCCAGGTGCTTGAGGCGAACCCACATACCCTTGCTGGAAGACTTTCTCGCGACAACTGCCCAGACATCAGGATGAAAAAGAACCCCGACCCCTCGCCACTGGTCTACAGACCGGTGCTGTACGAGTTTGTATCCCTGAATCGTTTCGGATCGCCAGCCCTGGGGCCCGCGAGGACATTCCTGCAGGAGGCACACTTTTTCTCGCAAAGGTTGTGCGGTACAGTCCTGAATCGCAGGCAGCAGATCCTCCAATGGAGCACCTCCCATGTTCCACCCGAGTGCCTGCAGCTCTAGCACTGGTTCCTCCCGCCTCGGGGCTTGGCCCACTCCAGCAAGAATCGGACCAGAGAGGTCATGCAATGTTTGAACTGCGAGGTCCAGGGGTCAGCGCTTGGTCTCCTCAATGGCTTGACGGAGGTGGCTCTCGTCCCGGCCAAGCTCCCTAGCAAGGGCCGGCACCCAGATCCAAGGCCTGGCCACCAAGCCCTCGTCCCACATCACGTCGGCATCCGGAACCCCGCTGGGAGGAGACTTAGTAGCACTTGCCACCATGGATTCACCACACCACACCGTGCCGGTTGAAAACTCGACATCAAGGTTCGAGACCAAGCTTTTGTCGATCAGCCCCACGGCCCTTTTCAGCCAAGAGGCATGCCCACTGACATCCCTTTCAGCTTTCGTCCTCGAAAAGCTGCACCACATCTTTTTGTTGTGCGATGTCATGGGAGCTGCTTCTGCCAGGCTGGTCACAATCCCAAGCATTCGGCGGCGTGTATCCCCGAAATCCTCCCCTGTCCTCTGTCTGAAAGCCATGAGTGCGACTGACCGACGGGGACCGGTCGTGAAGGCAGCTGAGTCCGTTGAGCCAAGTAGCTGTAGCCTACGAAGGGCCTCCTCCACTTCACCCAGGATTACTTTCTTTGGGGTGTCTTGTCTCCAGCCTCCAAACACCAAGGTGAGGCGACGACGGGATTCATCACCCTCCCCTGGTCCGAGCATCCCACGACCCTTACTGATCATGTCCTCGATACGAGCCAGTTTGCTCTCCACTCCAGCAACACGCTCTTCCACATTGTCAAAGCGTAGGCCAGCGTCAGCAAACTTCTGATCATACTTGGTTTCCAGGGAAGTAAACAGGGACTGGATCTGAGCCTGGTTAGCATTCACAATCTGGCTAGCCTGGGCCGCAAGCAAGGCTTCCATGTGATGCATATCAAGGGTAACCCTCGCGTCATCCGACCCCTTGGCGTGATCCCCGAGTCCTGGGGGTGCAGCATTCTCACGACGCCGCTTGACTTGCCAAGTCGGAGTCATCCCCTTCGGGCACCTTCTTCATGATCGCATCTCCACCCCCAAGCTGCATCCGCCCAGACATCCAGCCCAGAGACTATCGACACTTTGCACCTCGGGCCTTGAGCCAAAATGGCTTGAGCCAGGGGTTTAGGGTTCAGGGTTAAGGTGTTTTACGGGTCAAGGGCTTTATGGCCGCGTTGATTAGGCTGGTCCGTCTGGCTTGACTGTTTGTTTGGTTCGGGGGAGAGGATTCTGGTTGAAGGTTTCGGACTCAAGTGAGGGTAGCGGTACACCCACCACTAGTTCCTTGAAACAAACTAATTAGTTAAACTGCAAACCCTACACCTTAACTTAAGGCCTTCGTGGCCGATGGTCTCCGCTAGAATCCAATGCCTCAACAAATACCTCTCCGGAGCCGGGAACCCCCAGCCGCAAAAAATTGGGGGTTTCGGCGGTCGAGGGCTTAACGGTTTAGGTTTTAGGGTTTCTTACTCTACATCCTAAGCACCATGCCTCAACCCCGAAATATTACCGCAAACCTTGAATCATGAGCCTACTACCAGGCACTACCACCACAATGCCAAAAACCCTGAACTCAATGCCGCACAGGCCGCCCAACATCAAAAGTTGAAAACTGTTAATCTGGGGAGCCACTCCCAAGTGGGAGTTTCCGGGAATAGGGGGCCCTCATGTAGTACCCTAAATAGTAGGATCCTTATTATAAGGACCCCAAAATAGGGTACCCCTAATTTTCGGAGCCTCCCAAGTCTTGTCAAACCTAAAACACCTGATCTCCGAAACCCAAATCTTCCCAACCCCCTCCTAAACAAAAACAGCTAAAGCCTGTATCTTCAGAGCCTCTCCAAAAGCAAAAAACGCTCGGGGCCGGGCAGAACCAGCTCCTTCGAAGTCAGGCGGTTGACACATGTTCAAGAAACAACACAAGCAAATTCGCAAAAATATACTAGAAACCTGATGTATAGTACCGGGGCAAGGTCTCTTGGTTTGTCTTGCCTTCCTATAGGAATCGTCCATGGAACCTTCTAGCAAATTCGAGTACCCCCAAACCTAATATCCGAATTTTAGGACTCTCGGAGGCAGTAGAGTGAACCCCAAACCCCTGCAGTCCTCGTAGAGCCCTTGCAGAGCCAGTATACAACACTTAAATAGCAATCCTCATTTAAACCTTCATTCATGAGCCCGTTTGAGGAGCCCTGCCTTTGGCGAGCTCCACTTGGTTCGAACAGCCGAGGCAAAGGAGACCATGGCTAGCAAACAGCGCCGCAACACGTAGCAGACCACGCTCAAAGCGCAGACGCGCAGAAGCAACAGCTTTGGAGGCTGCCATCCCAAGCATTCTGCGCATTCGTTGCAACGAAGGCTGCCGGGGCGAGTCTGGTTTTCGACGTTTCGCAGCAACAGTTGCCGGGCTGCATCGCTGCTTCTCACGGAGCCGCATCTGTTTTCTGTAGATTCGAAGTGCGGCAGGGGTCTGAAAGAGTGGAATATCAGCTTTTTGCAAGCGGTCGTTCACTCTGGACACCAGCTTCTCCGTGCAGAAGGTGCCAGGCTTGGGGGCAAGTCTTCCTGTGAGAGTTTAAGGCTTACGTAGGGTTGCAGAGATTTCAGGTGCATTTCAATACATAGGTTCGAGGATTGAAGATCTGCAGGGTGCTTGCTAGGACTACAATGAAGTACGCTAGACCCTAAATTCTGCATGCATATGTACATAAAGGAGTGAACCTAGCAAACGCCAACCTCAAGAGACCTCAAGAAGCCAAAAGACGTAATTCTGCATGTCCCGATCTTCATAGAAAACACATCCGGTCGGAGTCCTCGCCGCTCTCCGGCATCGCAACGGCGTCGCCCTAACATTGGATCATCGGTTTCGTTGGGCTCTCTCTTGAGGCGTTGGGCTTTATGGTTTCGGGTTTTGGGGTTTAGGGCTGAGGTACAGCCCTAAACCCTAAACCCTAAACCCTCAACCCTAAACCCTAAACGGTTGAGGTACAGGGTTTAGGGTTTAGGAACCCGAGCCTCGACATCCAAACCCTTAGACCTCCACCCGAAGCCCTTAATCGGGCTGCTGTACGAGAATCACCGGAGATCCTGTTGAGCGAGATGGCATGGATTCCAGTGATGCTGGCGAAGATTATGATGAAACGTCTGATCAGCATCATCGAAATTGTGCCCTAAACCCTAAACCCTAAGCCCCTAACCCTAATTGTGACCATCATTAACAGAGCCGCTGCCATGCATCAACTTCGGAGCCACGGATACCATCACTACCACCAGCACCAGCATCACCGTCGCTTTCACCGCATCAGCATCACCATCAATATGGGAGTTTCCGAAAATTAGGGGACCCCAGTGTAGCACCCTAAATGGTAGGATCTTTAGTATAAGGATCAAATTAAGGTACCCCTAATTTTTGGAAACTCCCATATCACCACCGTGACTTTGATTGATCTTCAATCGCATGACTGCTATGATCATCTGTCAGTACCATCATCATCGTCGTCATCACCAACATCATCCAATGACGAAAAGGGAAGAGTTCACATCACTGAGCCGCTGGAGAATAACCAGAACGGTCATCAACATCTTCATCATCGTCATCATAGGGAAGACCTGACATGACTTTTACTGCCGACTGTGTGAACTCATATCCCTGCACCCAATTGGCAGACGTCCTCACAACCTGAATGAAACCCACAATGCCGGAAGCTGTGGAAAGTTGGGTTCAGGGCTTAAGGTTCAGTGCTGCTTTGGTTTACGGTGTAGGGTTGAGGTGTTGATATGTTGGGGTTCAAAGCCGAGGACTTCACTCCAAGGTCGGAGCCCAAAACGAAGAAACCAGAGCCCTTAAGCCGAAGCCCCACACGCCTAGAGCCGAAAGCCCAAATGTAGCGGCCTTAATGAATGGACTAAGGAATTGGGTATGTTAGTATATTATATCTAGAGTAAGGATCTCCATTGTCCAAAAGACGGGCGGTGTTGGTCTTAGTGCTTATATTCAGGCCCTATACACTGAAGAAGCCCGCAACCCGAAGCTCAGGCTAGCGCAGTCTTCTCGTCGCTTCTCCCGGATCTTTCGCCTCCAAAGGTTTGCCCCGCACTCGGAAACAGGACCGATGGGTTTTGGGGCATGAACGCGTTATACGCTTTAGGATTTCTAGGGGTAGAGTTTCTAGGGGTTAGGATTTAAGGCTCAGGGTAGCTTTGCATGATGCTTACTTACATCATGTGTTTGGGAGTTTCCGACAAAAGGGGACCCTAATTTAGCACGCTGAACAGTAGGATCCTCACTATAAGGGCCCCAAAACAAGGTACCCCTCATTTTCGGAACCTCCCATATTTGGCGGAACGGTTCCAGCCATCATGGCAGCCCAAAGACAACCTTAGGGGCTGAGTACCCTAGCCCAAAACAGGTTAACCTTTTCGGTTATGGTAGGATTAGGGTTTAGGGTTTTGGGTTCCATAAACCCCAAAAGGTTAAAGGTTACCTACTCAGCTGCTAAGAAACACAAGCAACATACAAACTGTCTTGAATGTGCTTGTCTAGGCTCTGGCGCTTGCCTTAGCAAGCATGTCATATAGGTGTAATGTGGCCAAGTCCGGTACCTAGCCCATTAGCCAAATACCTGCCAAGCCAATAGCTTCATTATGGGAGTCATGGTATATCCCTCCATTACCCTGCGTACCCCAAAACGACCCTAAACCCTAAACGGAATTATGGCTTCTTCCTCATTACCAGCTCCAACGCCCTGAGACTGAATGGCTGAATTCCAGGGCCCGAACAGCTTGAAACCCCATACCCTAAGCCCGGGTATGTTGTAGTACGTATAGTTTTGTGAAGGAGCCTTGGGTCTGTAAATTGCTGGCTTAGGGTTTATAAGGCATAGGGCTTAGAGTCTAGGCTCATTGATCTCACGGCTAGATATGCTTCCTTTCTCAGGGTGCCTTCAACCTCCTGCCTCTCTCGCTCTCTCTGCTGTCCCCTGTCTCGCTTCCCAGCTAATTCGCAGCTCAACGACTTTGTCTGAAATTCACCTGTACCCTAAGGCCCCAAAGTAGTTCCTTTTGGGGGTTCGTATATAGAATCCTATAAGGTAATCCCAAAAAGGAACTACTTTGGGGCCTATGAGTAATTAGCCAAAATCTGACCGCAACGCTTTACCACAATCGCCGACAGACACTGGAACTCCCCCGAACCTTACTCCCCCCGCTCTGCAACCCACCGACAAAAAGACAGCGAAGTACCAAGCTGACACTCGGAAATTACTGGCCCCTGCTGCCTTTCGGTTTGCACTGGTCCAGCATATGCCTGGAGATGTCTTCGGTGGATTTATGGTTTAGGGCTTCAGGGGTTCATGTGCATGTGTAGTGCTTCGAGATGCTGGGCGTTTATTCGGGAGGAATCCCCACATTTAAGCCACAGGCCACAGCTAATTACCGAAACTAGTGAAGATAAGCACAACGCAGCATTAAAATGTCTCGCAGCCGGAATGCTCGAGCAGCAGTTTGGCAGCCAACTAAAGGCTAAAGGCGCGTGAACAACTAGAAATTGAAATCGTAGTCCCCTCTTGTCCATACAGCTAAGCGATTATGTACCCCAAATGCGAATACAGTTTTCGGGTTCTTGCCGCAGCTCTTGGCGCAATTCCCTCAAACTGATGTTCTACGATAAAGCCCAAGCAACACCATGCACAGGAGCTCTGCCATCAGCAGCTCAAAACTAAAATCGTAGAGCTCGCCGCGCCCTAGCACGCAGAACATCTAGGTCTCCGATACCGTATATAAGCCCTCAACACCCGGACCTCCATTGCCCTACATTCAAGCCTCTGTTCTGTTGCTTTGCGGGAGACATACAGGTATACTAAGCCTACGATGGAACCCGAAGGAAGCTATTACCAAGTCTTCGGACTCCTATATTAAGTTCCTGCTGCTGGTTTATCTCAGCGCTGTTTCCCGGTAGATTTGACCTCTTCTTCTTTTACCATTATCGCCATCATCAGCAT